GGAAAGGACAACATTGAGATCACACATGTGAAGGACTTATTACTCACACAGTGCCTGGCCCATGCTAGCACTTGATAAATCTGAACTATTATTACTTAAACAGGCAGCTTTTTAGCTTAAGCAAAATACAAATATATTAATTTTCTAGACACTCCATCTAAGATGAATGGATCTGTTCCCGTCTTGAAAAAATAAATTATATGCCTGGACTTTTCAAGCCAACGTTCTCTGTGCTGCAGCTAACAGCCTGAACCTACTTCTGGAAATGAATGTTAGGTCTCTTGTTCTTATTCCCTAAGACCATCTCTATATGGAGGTAAGGTGATTCACATTTAAGTATTTGTCCTCGTCAGACTCCTCCACTCTCATAATCCCCATGAAAATAAAGCATGCCTGCCAAAAATATGGCTCTGTGATTAAACAATATAAAACAACAACATAAAAAATAGATGTACTCGAGGAACTTGTCAGGAAGCACAAACTCACCCCACTGCTGATAACTGTAACAAAAAGCTCCACTGAGAAAATATTTATGGAAGGTAACCTGAAGAATGTACAATCCCCATCTACTTATCTAGATAATCTAAAACAGATCCTTAAGTTAAATTAGCATAGAAATCTAAGTACTTAGATCACATTATTTTGCCAGCACCAGAACTGCTTTTACTGAATTACGTTTCCATGTTCTGTCATCAACCTACACAATGAGGCAACGAAGACTTTTAACTAAAAAACAAAGTAAAATACAACACAGTCCTTTGAGATGCATGCTGTTATTTACTTAACGATGTAGTTGAGGAGTATGTCAATACAAGGAGTCTCAGAATCCAAAAGAGAAATTGGTCTTTTTTCTCATGGTCACTGAACTATGCAACTGATTATATTTCTCTCTGAACTGGCTAATAAAAAGCGGTCAAATTTGTGGCCTTCTAACAAATATTTAAGACTTCAGTCTAAGTACTTTGTGTACAGATCTCATTCCATCTTAATGAGGATCTTACAGATGTGTTTTCACCATAATTTTTCTCCCTCAGTGCTAAATTCATCACCCCTTTATTTCTGTATGTTCTCAATAACATGCTGTATCTTTGTAAGCCACTATGAATCCTTTCTGGAACAAGATGTGACATAAGTAAAGGACATGCTCCACTTAAACATTATAACACAGTAAGATACTTTCTTCCATTAATAAGTATTTTATGAGTTCAACTTGTAAAGGCATTACCTTTTTGTGCTCCAAAAGAAAAAAGAAAGTGCTTTTGCAAATACTGTGTCTAAAATTAGGAAATTCTAACAACAGGAACTACAAAAATAAAACTTTCGTGATGTATTAACTTTGGAGCACACAGAAAACTATAAATATATCCCATGTAAAAATCACCCAAAAGTCATTTTTAATTTTAAAATACAGACCAAATCACCATAAATGCAATTACAATTATTTATTCTGAATGGGAATTGAAGAGACTATCTTCAAAACTGATTTCTGTACAACTCCTCCTGAGCTGGACTCTGCCTAGCATAGAGGATGCTGCCAACCACACCTTAAGGTGAAACAACACAGAATTTAGGGCCCCAAAGGTTCTTGCTACATTCCTGCTTTAAGGATTTGGCTACATTCTTGCCTCAGGGATTTCAGCAAGTTCCTTGATGTCGTTTGAGGAAAATAAAAAGCTTAAGAATTTAGCATGTACAATCTAACCCATTCATGAACTCATACTCTGATCATAACTTAGGACTTTTAACTATATATTTATTTAATTAATGGATTATAATTAGTTCTTCACCCTCCTGGTGGCCATAAACAAGTAAGCTATGCTACCAGAAACATGAAAAAAATGTTCAACTTTGTAATAAAAATTACAATTTCTACCCCACTGACAGGAACTTCATCAAACACAGGAATCTCACACTCCAACTTGAAAGCAGCACCATAAAGGTACAGCTTTTTCTTAAAGCATTTTAGGAGCTTTATCCAAATATCAAACAAAATATGTTATATAATATCAAGTGGGATGAAGGTAAGTCCACTGTTATTTCTCCTAAGTGTTTATTCAACAATACTCTGAATTATTTCCAGGCATTCCAGTCATATGAAACACATATAATGTCTCTACAATGCTTTATGATAGAAATAAGCATTTAATAAGACTTTCAAAATGTTTTGACTTCTATTGTGAAACTTTTGTTTCTGGTCTGATAACTTTATTTATGGGTTAAGAAGCCACTTAACAGCATTTCTATTCTGAGTCACAGAATAGACAGGTGTGTTACACAGGTATCTTCCACGTTTTAGGGATGAGTCATTTCTGCTACAGATGTTTACTATGCAACCAATAAAAACACATTAAACTCATAGTCAAGACTGAAATTCTATGCCTCTAGCCAAAGACTGACACAAGTAAATGAAACAAGATCTTAGTTCTTCTATAAGTAGATATTAAAATAAGTACTGACAGTTTTTTTCTTCCCACTGAAAACCAACATCAGAAATCAATGAATCAATGAATTCTCATTAAGTTAACAAGTACTCATGGAACACTTGTGAATGCCCAACTTGGATTGAGTATGCAAACAGATAAAAGCAGAATTCCTGTTTATAGAAGCTTACAAATTAGCAGGGTCAGACACTTTTTACACAATGAAACAACTAGTAAATGAGCGTACAACTCAATTCAAACATTTAATGAGCACACACACAGTCTTCCTCAGCAAAATAGCAGCCAGTGCATAAGTTCATAAAATTCCATTTTAATCATGCAGAGACCCTTCTTTGGTTTTGTCATCACCAGATAAAAGCCGAAGCTCCTGCATCTCTGCCCAGCACTTTTTTACTTTGCAAAAACCCCCTCCCAGTAGTGAGTTAATTGGCCTACTCTCCAGTTACTCGGCCCACCTCCACATTCCCACCCAACCTTGTTAGTTTCAAAGTTACTCATTCTTCGAGACACTTCCAAAAAGTATTCCCTGATTACCTTTCTTCACCTTCCACACCCCGCAGTGTCTCTCTTCAGGGCTCTATCTTAGCTCTATTTACGACGTTGTGTTGAAAAGTACCCTCATTGTCCCTCTCTCTATAACTTCTAGAGAGAAGAAACATGATTGCTTGAAAGGTCAGTGACATTTCAAATCCTGAACACTTCTTAATCTTCCGCATAAGAACCAGTACCTCTTAAAAGTTAACGTTAGGGGCGCCTGGGTGGCTCAGTTGTTAAGCGTCTGCCTTCGGCTCAGGTCATGATCCCAGGGTCCTGGGATCGAGTCCTACATCGGGCTCTCTGCTCAGCGGGAAGCCTGCTTCTCTCTCTCCCACTCCCCCTGCTTGTGTTCCCTCTCTCACGGTCTCTCTCTGTGTCAAATAAATAAAATCTTTAAAAAAAAAAAAAAAGTTAACGTTATTTATCATTAAATGGATTAACAAGGGCGCCTGGGTGGCTCAGTTGGTTGGGCTACTGCCTTCGGCTCGGGTCACGATCCTGGAGTCCTGGGATTGAGTCCCACATCGGGCTCCCTGCTCAGCGGGGAGTCTGCTTCTCCCTCTGACCCTCCCTCCTCTCATGTGCGCTCTCTCTCTCTCTCATTCTCTCTCTCAAATAAATAAATAAAATCTAAAAAAAAAAAATTAAAAAAAATAAATGGATTAACAATATAATCCAATTTTACCCGACCGGCAAGCTTTCTTGTTACAACTATTTTAGGGGCGCCTGGGTGCCTCAGTCGTTAGGCGTCTGCCTTCGGCTCAAGTCATGGTCCCAGGGTCCTGGGATCGAGCCCCGCATCGGGCTCCCTGCTCGGTGGGAAGCCTGCCTCTCTCTCTCCCACTTACCCTGCTTGTGTTCTCTCTCTGGCTGTCTCTCTCTGTCAAATAAATAAATAAAATCTTTAAAAAAACCAAACAACTATTTTAATTAACAGGCTTTTTAAAAAGCAGTTACAGGGGCGCCTGGGTGGCTCAGATGGTTAAGCGTTTGCCTTCAGGGGAACAACAACAACAAAAAAGGCAGTTCCAGGTTTACAGGAAAAAAAAAAAAGTACAACCATTATTTAATTTCAAAACAAAACAAACAAACAAAAACAGCCAAAACTCTTCTCATCCAAAAAACTACTCCCCTAGTGATGCTGTAAACTCGTCCTGACAAATTTTCACGTCTAATCTCAAGAGCAAAACGAGTCCACTGACATATTTCCCAACCACAGGGCTTGGTCACGGTCACGGGCGCTGAGGCACCACCAGATGTCTGTGACCTACTCTCTAAAGCGGCTGAGAGCCTCCCTCCCTCTGACTAAACTTCCGTGATGGGCATCACCTCTGTTCCCCTCCAAGACAGTTCGCAAGCAGGGACTTCTGCTCCTAACCCCAGGTCCACAACTTCCCCCTCAACCACCTGGCAAAAGTTAGGACAAGTCTTCCAGTCCCCGCACCACGAAAGACTGCACCCTCCCTGCCCCGGGACCTTTCCCTCCCTCCGCAAGACCGACGCAGGTTCGTGAAGTCCCGGCGCCCCGGCCAAGGCGGGGCTGCGATCTGGGTCTGAGCCGTCAATCGCGACGGACCCCCGAGCGGCCCGGGGCACGAGCCGACCGGCCGCCACCACAGGTGTCCCCTCAGACTCCGAGGGCTGGACAGTGAAGAGGAAGCCGGCCGGAGGGAAGCCATCCTGCGAGGGGTGGACGGGTGGCAGGAGGGGGCCAGGAAATGACAAGCGCCTGTCCGTCGGAGTTGGGCCGGGCCGCGCAGAACTTGGCGACGAGCGCCCGAAACGGGCAGGCAGAGAACGACAGGATTAAGCCGGCCGGCGACTACCTGGGGTCGGTTAGGGCCGCGCCGCGGGGCCCGGGGTTGGGACAGACCGCGGCTGGAAGCACCGAGGCGCAACGGCCCCGGCCGGGTAGACGGCACAGGCGAATGACCCAGCAGCCCCCGCCCGGACGGCGCCGCCGCCCCGCCGCCCGCAGCCGAGAGCCGCGCCAGCCTCGGCCCGCGTACGTCTGCTCCGTACCTGGTCTGAGGCTCCACGGGCGTCGGGACGGCCGCTCTCCGCGGGTCGCTCGAGTGGGTCCCCGCTCCGCCAGTCCACAACCCGCCCTCTCGCCGACCCTCCCTCTCTCACGCCCCGCCCCCGGCGCCGCGAGCGCCCAGCACGCACGCATAGACGTCACTTCCGGGGCCCTAGGCGCGCGGAGGAAGTTGTTGCGGGTTCCCCGCAGAATCCGCTCTGGGTGGAGCGAGGCCGAGGCTGGAGTGAATGACAGCACCTGCGTTGGCCGAGGTGTAAGGGAAGGAGGCGGCCGCCAGGCTAGCCCTAGGGTGCTGACCTGCGGCGCTCAGGAGCCGGCGGAGAAGCCGGTGGGCCCTGGCTTTTTCCGTGCCTGCTTCCTGCGGTGCCACCGGGCCCTCGGCCGCTGTAGCAGCGTGGAAAGGGAGACAGAGGCTGCGAAGGCTGGGGAGGGGAATCCGTGGGCCAGTAGACGGTTACGAGCCCGTAGGGAACGAAGCCGCTTGAAAAAAACCAATGAATCCTATCCCTTCTCGGATCAAAATTTTTAGTTTTCGAATGAGAGGACCTTTAAGAGATTGGTGGTTGATCCAAAAGCCGTTTTTACGGCTAAGCATAATTGAGCTCCACGAAATTAAATAATTGTTAGCCAGTATTAAGGTCGAATCATAAATGGAATCCAGTTCTCGTGATTCCCTTTCAGGAATGTCGGAGGCCGCAGCTGCTTCTGTAACCTGGATGCCATCTGTGGCATAAATTGCAGCACACCAGAGAAAAAGAAAAGTATACTGTATCGGGCGCCTGGGTGGCTCAGTCGTTAAGCGTCTGCCTTCGGCTCAGGTCATGATCCCAGAGTCCTGGGATCGAGCCCCGCATAGGGCTCCCTGCTCAACGGGGAGCCTGCTTCTCCCTCTCCCATTCCCCCTGCTTGTGTTCCCTCTCTCGCTGTGTCTCTCTGTCAAATAAATAAAATCTATAAAAAAATAAAAATAAAATAAAATGTAAACCAGGGTGCCTGGGTGGCTCAGTCAGTTAACCATCGGCCTTCCGTTCAGGTCATGATCCTGGGGTCCTGGGATGGAGTCCTGTGTCAGGCACCCTGCTCAACGGGGAGCCTGCTCCTCCCTCTCCCACTCCCCCTGCTTGTGTTCCCTCTCTCACTGTGTCTCTGTCAAATAAATAAAATCTTTAAAAAAAAAAAAGTATACTGTATCTTGGAGACCTGGATTGGAATCCCACCTTGGCTAAATGCTGCCTCTGTGATCTTGGACAGGTTGCCTAATTTATTAGTCTTTTTCATTATTTGCAAAATATTGATTGAGTCATTCCTCAAATTCTTCCTAAATGCAGAGGGATAGCAGAACATGCCACGCCGAAACATACCTCTTTGGCAGAAGGTTAATTTGAGAAAGTAGACACAAGAGAAGCTCTGAAAACAAACTAGAATACCCTTTTGGAAGGGAAATGTACATTTATAAATGTACATTTATAAAGGAAATCTCCATTTGTAAAGGTGTCTCCCTCTCTGTGCCTAGAAGAGCATTACTAAATCACAAGACACTCTTATCAATGGAGGAGACACTAACCTAAATCTGCATAGCAAAACTTAAGCTTGTTTACTTTCCTTTCCCTGGTCACTTCCCATAGCTGGTCCTTCAGCTACCCACCCAGCCCCAACACACACCTTTCTTTTGTCTACCTGAAGATAGTATTTAAGTTGGCATTCTAAGTCTTTTCCTTGGGTATCTCTTATGTATGTATGAGGTATATGTGTTAATAAATTTCTATTTGTTTTTCTCTTGTTAATCTTTTACTTCTCAGCCAAGAAGTGGAGGTAACGTTCTTTCCCCTCCCCTAATACTGAGAAGTTTACATTCTAGAGGAGAGGGGAGGAGCCAGTAAAAAAGTTATTTACAGTAGTACAGGAGATGGTGATAATTATTATTTAAAAAAATAATAATGCAAGGAAGAGGAATAGAAAGTGCAATCTAAAAGTCTGCAGTGTTAGAGCTGAGGGGAAAGCCCTGGCTGAGAAAGTAACTTGAACAAGGGGCGAGGGAGCTAGCCATGCTGGTATGCAAATATTGGGGCAGGTGTTCTAGGTACAGGGAACAAGTGCGAGAGCCCTCTTGACACCTCCAACCTATGTAGCTGTAGCAGAGTGAATTAGGGGGAGGTAGAAGAAGAGATCAAAAGGTAATGGGCGAAGCAAGTAAGGGGCTAACCCCTAGGTCAATGTGGGAGGGAACTAGCAAAAGTGAGGACACTAGTAGGTCTGACTCATTGGGGCCGTTAGTGGGACAAATTACCAGATATGCCTTCTCTCTCAGAGAAAGTGGGGTGGGAGGTACTGGAAAGGGGCACCAAGGCTATATTTAACAGAGGAAGCAATGTTTTAGTTCTTGAATTTAGTGGTTTAGTTCTTTTTTTTTTTTTAAAGATTTTATTTATTTGACAGAGAGAGACACAGCGAGAGAGGGAACACAAGCAGGGGGAGTGGGAGAGGGAGAAGCAGGCTCCCTGTCGAGCAGGGAGCCCGATGCGGGGCTCGATCCCAGGACTCTGGGATCATGACCCAAGCCGAAGACAGACACTTAACGACTGAGCCACCTGGGTGCCCCAGTGGTTTAGTTCTTGATAGGTATATGGATATTCATTGTATTATTTTTTATTTTAATTTATGTGTTATTTTTGCATATTAATTTCTTATTAATTAATTTCTTTTTAATTAATTAATTAATTTAGAGAGGGACAGTGAAAATCTGAAGCAAGCCCAACCCAGGGTTTGATCTCACAACCCTGAGTTCATGACCTGAGCTGAAATCAAGAGTTAGACACTTAACTGACTGAGCCACCCAGGTGCCCCTTTTGCATACGAATTTATAAAAATCAGTCCCATTGGAAAAAGTGAAGATAAAAGAGGGCTAAAAAATTCATCTTGGAGTGAGTCAAAAGAAAAAGAGCCAGCAAAAGAAGAGTGAAAAAAAAAATAGAAGCGAGAGGAAAACTATAAAAGAGGAGTAATGTGGAAGCTAAGAGGAAAGAGAGAAAGTAAAGGGGTTGTTGGGAAGAGTCAGATTCCAGAGAAAGGTCAGATAAGATGAATCTACCCAGGAGAAATGAAAACATGTTAATAAAAGTAGTGAAAGCAGGCATCCTTGTCTTGTTCCTGATCTTAGTGGAAAAACGTTCAATCTTTCACCATTGAGTATGATGTTACCTCTGGGTTTTTCATATATGGCCTTTATCAGGTTGAGGAAGTTCCCTGCTACTCTTAGTTTACAGGCTTTTTTTTTTTTTTTATCATGAAAGAGTATTATAGTTTTTAAAACTTGTTTATTGTAAAATATATATATCATAAAATTTACAGGCAGAAGAATGAATTTGGACCCTTACCTAACACCATATACAAAAATTAACTCAAACTTGATCAAAGACCTAAATGTAAGATATAAAATTTAGAAGAAAACACAGTTGAAAAGATTCATGACACTGTATTTGACAATAATTTCTTATGCAATACCAAAGGCACGGGTAATAAAAGAAAAAATAGAAAAATTGGACTTACCAAAATTTAAAACTTTTGTGCATCAACGCTACAATCAACAGAATACAAAGGTAACTCACAGGATAAAATATTTGCAAATGACTTATCTCATAGGGGATTGTTACCCAGAATATAGAGAGAACTAAAATTCAACAACAACCAACCAAATTTACATGAGATTTCTTTCCATTTCTTTGTCTTCTTTATTTCTTTCAGCAAAGTTTTAGAGTTTTCATTGTACAAGTCTTTTACCTCCTTGATTAAGTTAATTCATAAGTATTTTATTCCTTTTTGATGCTATTATAAACGGAATTGTTTTCTTAATTTCTTTTAGGTTGCTCATTGTTAGTGTATAAAGAGGTGACTGATTTCTGTGGGTTGGTTTTGTATTACTACATTGTTCAATTTATTTATTCTAATAATTTTTCCTGTGGAATCCTAGGGTTTTCTACATATAAAATCATATCTTCGAACAGAAATAATTTTACTTTTTCCTTTCCAATTTGGATGCGTTTTATTTCTTTTTCTTACCTAGCTGCTCTGGCTAGAACGTCCAATAATATGTTGAATAGAATTGGGAAAAAAACCCAGGCATCTTTGTCTTATTCCTGATCTTAGTGGCAACACTTTGTCTTACACCGTTGAATAGAATGTTAGCTGTGGGTTTTTCATTCATATGTGGCTTTCTTATACTGAGTTAGTTTCACTCTATTCCTAGTTTGTTGAGTGTTTTATCATGAAAGGGTGTTAAATTGTGTCACAAGATTTTTCTGTATCAATTGAGAAGATAAGGTAGTTTTTTCCCCCTTTATTCTCTTAAGACCATCTTTGTATTCTAGGGATATATCCCACTTGGCCACAGTATATATCCTTTTCATATGCTGTGGAATTCAGTTTGTTCATCTTTTGTTGAGAGTTTTTGTATCAATATTCATAGGGGATATTGGTCTGTAGTTTTTTTCCCAATAGTGTCTTTGTCTGGTTCAGTATCAGGGCAATGAATGAGTTAGCATGAGTTAGAAAGAATTCCCTTCACTTTCAATTTTTTGGAAGAGTTTGAGATGGATTGGTATTAGTTCTTTAAATGTTTGGTAGAATTCTCCAGCGACACCATTAAGTCCAAGGCTTTTCTTTCTTGGAGGGTTTTTGATTACTGATTCAACCTTGTCACTAGTTATAGATCTATTTGGATTCTCTATTTCTATGTGCTTCAGACTTGGTAGGTTTTATGTTTCTAAAAATTAGTCCATTTCCTTCGGTTAATTTGTTGGTGTATATGTTCATAGTATTCTCTTATAATCCTTTTTATATAAAGTCAGTAGTAATGTCCCCTCTTTAATTTCTGATTTTAGCAATTTGAGTCTTCTCTTTTTTCTCTGACATTCTAGCTAAATATTTGTCAATTTTGCTGATTTTTCTTTTTAAGATTTTATTTGTTTAGCTGAGAGACAGAGTGAGAGAGAGAGCCTGAGCAAGAGGCAGGGGCAGAGGGAGAGGGAGAAGCAGCCTCCCTGCTGAGCAGGGAGCACAACGTGGGGCTCCATCCCAGGACCCTGGGATCAT